TTTCCGCATTTAATAAGCACATTTCAGTCGGTGTGAACACACATAATTTCCGAACATCAAAAGCCATTTGCACCAAATGTGCATTTCGTTTTAGACCTTTCCACATTTATTTTCAAATAATAATGTTGCTTTATTTAATTACACCTTATTGCAGACACGTATACATGTACATATGTATATTATATATTTACACTCTTGTAGCATTACATAATTACGCTTATATTGCGTTTTAATTACAGCATCCTTTACGCATGAAATACTCCCTCCGAATACCTTTGATTTAGCCATTTGATTGATTTACTTCGAAATGAACACAACAGCTAATTATTAGGTGGGGCAAGTTGTTGATTCACATCTTATAGGGCAATCACTTTTTGGGAAAATTTTTTATATAATAATAATTTTTAGTAGACTCAACCAGCTAAGTACCATAGTTGGTGTTCGTGTGGATTGTTCGAACTTGACTGGAAAGACAGGTGAAGAAGCGATAAAAAAACTGTTGGTGTTCGATGGAAAAAATAAAGACTTTAAGCTCTATTTAGATATAAATAATTATATTAAATTTGCTGAATAAACTAGAGCTTATCGCAAGCACAGATCAACGATCGGTTTATCCAACTGACTAAATAAATTTTAAACATTTAAATTTTCACGAATCCATTAAAAATCTGCTTAATTCAATACCAGTTAGTTCATATAAGAAGAATAGGATGGCAAAAGGGGCGAGATCCAGCTTTAATCTCGAGAATGATAGACGGTCAAGATGACCAAACAATTTCGAAAGCCTGCATCCGAGAATATTTTTAACCTGCGTTGATAGTAATTGAAGATTAGCCGATGAAAAACCCTACAAAGAGTGAAAGTTGAACCTTGATGAGGCTTATCAATTCAATAGACTCTTGCGATTTGAAAGTAGAAAAGAAACTTTGTAGAATAGTTTAGCAAGTCTCTATCAACTCGTCGTTTTAAGATATTCAACAGCTCTGTTTGATTTAGCAAGTATTGAGGTAATTGAACTAAATTTTCGATCAACAATCAGTTAATGTTGGAATATGGCTGGCTCATAATTACCAATTGCAAACTAACAGTGTGGTCTAAACTCCATTGAGTCCATAATCGTTCAGGTATTAACCATAAGCCTTAGAAAGCTTCAAACGATCAATTACGCTCCATACCTTTGTTGATTTCAACTCGATCTCCTAAATTCAGCTCATGTTATCTAGAGAAATAAGTATTTGGAGCGGTACAACCGATTTTGATAGCAAATTTCGATCAAATTTTGTTAAGTTTATGATTATCATTATTCTTTCTTTAATTTATTCTAGAATTTTGGTTTTAATATTTTATGTTTCGAAAAAAAATTTGTATATACATATATATATTTTTTATATTTTTTTTTTATATTAGAGGTATTGATTAAAATACCTTTATTGTAATTGATATCTGCGTTTTTACAAAAGAAAGTGACGCCATACAGTTTATTCTGAAGTATATGGTACCATATATACTATGTATTCCTCCCTATTATTGACTAGCTTTCTTTGAAACCCGAGTAAATAAATAAATAACAAACACTCGCCGGTACACCTACAATAACAAAAAAAACTATCACAAAAAAGAAAAAAAATCGTTACTCCATATGGAAAAAAGGTGTTTCATCAAGTGTGTAATGCTTCCGGCCGATTTGAAATTCAAAACCAATTAACAACTAAAAATCTGTGCCGCAGCAAACTACCGAAAAAACACAACTGTTGATTGGCACTACAAGCAAGTGGTGTAGAAAAACGATAAAGAGGTGCAAAATTAATGCAAACAAAAAAGAAAGCAAGAAAATCGTTGAAAGCCTCTGATCCCCAACTGGAGTGGAAACTTACGTAGCAGAAGCCAAATCAATAACTGCAAGCATCAGCAAGTCTTCGATTTTTTTCGTATTAACTTTTATAGCTTTTTTTGCGAGTGACTTAAAACGAAAAAGAACGAAGAGATAATACAACTAAAGTAAGCTTTGCGAATGTTCGAGGCTTGTCAAAAGAAATTTTTGCGCACCTAAACCCTTTTATTTTTGTGCGAAAGCTGTGCAAACAAAAAATTTCGGCTGATCTTGCAGTGATAAAATATCGAATTACGCCAATAATAATGAAGCAGCGCTCCAGAGACTCAGGGGAGTTGAAAAAAATTAAAGAAACCCAAAAAAGCATAACATAACGAAATCTTGGAATGTGTTATTCATTGTGCGCTGCGAATCAGCAACGAAAAATATAAGAATTAAAATGAAAGCAATAAAAAGAGCGGTAGCTACTAACAAATTTGAAAAAAAAAACTGTATTTGGAAGTGAAAGAAATAAAAAAGGGGGCTGTTTTTTTGTAGAGCTTGCTTTCAGATAAATTATTTCTGAAAAATTTCTAACCTTGTTTATTAATTCAATACTATTTTCTATATACAAATATACTAGGTATTTGTCCAAAAACGTAGCCTTAACACGCCCACAAGCCGTCAGTTTTCGACTTACGTAATAGAGAGCAGTCCAGCTGTACCACCCTTTAATAGGTTTAATCTATATAACTCGTAAGGCACTAAATATATCTTTACCAGACAAATTTAGAGGGATCGTTGCGCCATTTTCTAATATTGGGTACCAATGAAAGATATCGTGTAATAACCACGCCTACATTTCTTGTTATGTTCGAAACTATTTACTTGTAAAGGCGATAAATGTCTAAAAAAATAACGCCAGAAATGTAAAATTTAACTGCTAGAATAACAGAGTAAGCTCATGGTAAAATATTGTACAGTGGGCGTGACACATCGAACTTTTAGAAGTCGTAGCTCACAAACTACTATACCTAAATATATGAACGAAATTTAGTTCGAAACATTTTCATTACGTTCCTTTTAGGCACAGTTTGCGCACAATCGGACTAGAACCACGCCCTTTTTCCAGAATGTCATTGTAAATAGCTTCGGCGTTCACAATTAGTAATCCTGATCCGTCGTCAAAATTTAAAAATGTAACTTTTCAAAATAATGGGCGTGTTTTAAAAACATATATGTATGTGGCAACCCTATTAAACTAAATCTTTTTATTCCGTTGATAAAATCTGTCACCTGTATTTGATTGGATTTTTTCTCATCCTTTATACCCTGAAGAGTGTACCACCTGGAAGGAAACATTGGAGATCCTATAAAGTATATTTTGAGATATCAGTCCGAACACATCCATTTCTCCAAGTAGCTGCTCATTTGTGGGAACATAAAACCATACAAACTGATCGGTGAAAGTAGTTAAGTCAAAGTCAAGTCCAAGTTCTTGTGTGTAAAAGTTTTATATTTGACGAGATATCTTTTCAGAAATTTAATATGGATTATTTGCTTAGACAATGCTTCTATCTCCCATTTTACTGATTATACAAATTGTTGTATTTGAAATACATGTTTGTGTCAACCCTATACCAACAATTATTTGCTATCCAAGTAGTTAGAAACCCTTGCTTTAGGTATATATATTTTCAGTGCTATTCTTCTTTTGTGTCACGTAATTTTCCTGGTCTCCTACCTTTTCTAAGCAAGTGTCGTCTTGTCCAACTAACCGCCGCTTGCCATTATCCTTGAACTTGAGCACAACTGGCCGCGAGCTTTTTAGGCCACTAATAATTTAACATATCCTCATTCTTCAAAAAACCTACAAGCATACAAAATAGAACAAAAAAAAAAAACTGCCATACATAAATAATACCGACCACAAACTGGCCACCTCCGCTTCACATTTGACAGCCGATTGTCTGCACTCACACCACGTTGCTATCACTTCAGCTCCGTCGACTGCTGCTCAGGTGCCGCGCAAAAAAAGCGAAAGTCATCGTTGTTGGTTTTGCTTTTTAAAAGTATACCATATATATATATATGTGTGTGTGTGTGTGTTATTTCTGTCTACCATTTGAGCAGCCCTGCTCCAAATGCTGCTTAAGGATCGCGTGCGCCGTCGCACATCTGCTAACCCAAATAACTTCAAATGCATGCAGATGGACCTTGATCAAGATAGAAGCCCCTCCTTGGGCATATTTAATGCGCGTATGCCCTTCGTTACCCTTCAGCAGCATTTCAAAGGTCGCTAAGCATCGCGCGGCCACTTTTAACGTCTCTTTCTACGACTATTGTCTGCTCATTTTTTGTTTCTGACCACTTGCGCGCATAGAGCTCTTTTTTTGGCTTACTTATTCTTATTTTGATTATTATTCACAGATCTTTTTTTCCTTCACTGCATTGCGTGCTGCTCTTAAGCCATTTTGGCATTCTATTAAAATAATCATGAGCTGGCAATATTTTTCAAGTATTTCCTAGAAATACTCTCTTTCAGCGTCTTCTTCATTGTCAAATTCTCACACATACATATTTTATCTTATCCTCCTCGAAGTTTGCATTGGCGAAGTTCATGGTTTCTCTCTGATGAGTTGCATTATGTTAATTTTCTCTGGGTCCTACCTTATTTGTTGACTCAATATTTGTTTCACCGTCCTATTGTCAATGTTATTTTAGGATATCATGATTTTAATCATGACTCTTCTCATTCGTGTAGAAGAGATGTGGCATTAATTGTGTTAAATATAAATATCAAATACGGTTAATGTGTGTGGTCAGATGATATGCGGTTTTGGAAGATTCCACTCCAAAATAATGTCGCTGTTCAATTGATTTTTCAATAAAGAGCTCTATGATGTTCACTAGTTGTGTCTTATTATTATGTATCCCCTTTTGTCATACTCTACCAGGCGTTTTGGTATTATTCTACTCTTGAATAAGCACTTGTTCTGGAAACATAAAAACTAACTAGTCGTAATTTAAGTCTTTATTACGCCAAATTTTCTTACGAAACCAGACGGAACTGTAAAATATCATATAAAGATTAGTACTGCATTGCCAAAGTCTCTTTTTATTACTTCTTACTTTTCAGTATATATTTCTTATTTTCATTTTAACCTACATATATCTCTTCCATTTTCAGATTACGAAAGTGATTGTGACATCCTTCAACGAAAATGAGAAATTTCAGCAAAAATTGTTTGGTAAGTGATTTTTTTTAATTATTTAAATAAACCGTTATGTGACATGTTTTATTGTTAGCACTAGTAGCTACCAAGTTTACTCCGCTTTGAGATTAATTTTATTCGAATCATTATGCGCTTGTTGCTCATATTATTTATTCTTCTGAGCATATCCAAAGTAATATCCTGTGAAGCTCAAAAAATTTGAAGCTTTCCCAATTTGGTATTCTTCTATTGGAATTAAAATTTTGAATATTTTTATAAGAGAAAATAAACACTTAAAATTAAACTTTCTGATCTCTTCTTGAAGATTTTTAGATAAAGCTGAGCTTATGCATTCATCATCGAGTCTATCCCACCTAAAATCACTATGTCATCAATACCATATCTCTCATTGAGTTACCGATTCTAGCAGCAAATTTCAATAAAACTGAATGCAACTAGATCTGGCCTTTTTTTTTGAATAATAAATTTTGCTTAAACCTCTCTTCTTAGTCGATTTGCAGATAGATCAGATACTGAATGCTGCTTAAATCCTCAAAATCTTCTCTAGCTTAGCTTTGACAACGTTCCATATAAGATTTTACATAGCTTTAAACCTTAAGCAAGATATGACTGTATGCAAGTTCGAGCTTCAAAGCTTAAAAACTACAAGGTTGTATGCTCTTCTGAGAAAGAAATTTCGTGACTCTCTATTTTTTGATTCAAAACTTATTCGCAATAAGTAAACATTACTATTAGTTCAAAATAGAAAATAGGAAAAGCTTATTTAAAAAGCTCATTTTGGATGATATCCAAAGTACGTGTCCTGTAATAAGATTTTTCGCAGAACTTGACTAAAGCGCCACCTGCCGAACAAAAACAATATAATGAATATTCCATCGAATAGTATATAATTTTATAGTTTGTTTGAAATGCTAAATCTAATAGAAGCTCACCGAAGTTCATATTTTTCGATTCCCTCTGAATTTTTTATTAAATAAATGCAAGTTCTCTAGTTTTTAGTTTAATACCTATCATCTATATATAATATAATATAATTTATGTGTATATTCGGGTGGAGTGAAAAAAAAAATTTTTTCTTAGCCTGAGAGTAAAAAATTTTCGCTCCACCTTAGTGTATATATATTTAGTATATGTATGTATGTATCTTCAATTATTGTAAAGTGCTTTTTCCATCTGATAAAAAGTGTTTGCGAAAATATTTTCCAAATTTCCTAACATTTGTTCAATTTATATCAAATTTTCACCAAATCTATTGAGATTAGTGAGAGGAGTGACATCGCAAGGCTAATTATGAGTGACGAATTAAACGAAAAGGCCTAACGCCCTACTTAACTGTCAACAAACACGCACTGAAAGTGCTACGAACAATGATTGTTGAGATTAATCAGCATTTGAACCAATCAATTTGTCAACTAACTAATTAGTTCCACGCTTTTATGTGGACTCATGTACTTAAGTCTACATATGTGCTCGAATGCATGTAATAAAGGCAGATGTATGTGTGTGAATATACTTTCCGAAATTTGTGCAAAAATTTTCGCATTGAAATGCAATTTATTTTCGGTGAAAGTGTTGACGGAATTGCATAAAAGAGGGTGCGGCAGAGGGTGAAAAAGAAATATGCCACTTAAGCACAAAACAATTGTCAACAATGGAGAGGGGTTTTCACACCCTTAATTCGTTCTTGGTATTAATTACACTACATTTGGTGTAACTACGATTTTAGTTGGATAAAGCAGTAGAGTTTTTTTTTTTTTTTTAAACGTAATGTGTCAAAAAATATACCGAGTCATAATTTGGTTCAGTAACCGAAACCCGAACCTTCTTAAGACCTCGAAATAAATTTATATTGCACTGATGACACCTCTGTTCCTTCAAATCGTTTGACATCATTCCAACTATCTAAGTTGTAAATCATATAAAATTCTGGAATTGAAAGTTCACATCAATGTGTGCATCTGTCAAACTCGGCTAGTATTTAAGTTGGACTTGCAAGAGATACTAGACGCCTTGATGCCAATGAAGACTTTCACGAATTTCACGTCGCTGTTTAAAGATAAAAAACTGGATCCTATACTGGTATGAAAATAAGCAATTCGGTTATGGTCGCCGTCGAGAGAATCGAGTCGAATCTCATTAGCTTCAGCAATCTTTATGTTTCTCCAACATCCATCCGGAGAAACTTAAGAATATTCTCCACTGTTGAACCATTAGTATTGGTACCAAATATTAGAAGATAGGTGCAGCGCAGCTTTTTTTGTGCCTTATGATTATACACAGACTTATAAACCGCTCGCATAGGAAAATATTTAAAGAATCTGCAATTATCGAACACAAAGTTGTAAATACAATTTGTCAAAAGGATTTTCGCACAACACGAAACGCCACAGGCATTTTCAGCTGTGCCGACGGTTGCCGGGGGGCATAACTGATGGGATGTGACGTGGACTGTGGTGAAGGTGCTGCATGCTTGCGGCAGCCGTTTGTGACACGTGACGCGTCATATTGCATACGCAATGCAGTGATTTGCCACGCTACTCGAGCGCGGAGTGGAAAGTGGCGAGTTGTTATGAGCAAACACACATTCAAACTATCGCATCGCTTTGACACGCCAACTTGGACGTCATTTGATGGCATACATCGTCATCACCAACACCACCACCACCCGCATGTAATGTGTAGTTGCCGTGCCACACGCGGCAGCAGCATTAGCGGCATAACAATCGTAACGCACATCGTCACAGTGCCTCCTCCCGAGTCCACAAGCCGGCGCATGACGTCACATGCATTGACATGTGCTTTGGCCCACCTTATGACATACTGTGTTGCAAGCGCGTTTGTGCCACTTGACTATTACCTCCACCATTTGTTCTTATTTTCAGCGTTTCATACGGAGGGGAGGGAGGGCGAGGTAGTGCCATACAAATAAGGCTTATTGTATCGCGTCTGTTACGTGTTGCTCTCGGCTGTGGGTGGGATGCGTCGCGCACGCACACAGCCTAATTTCGGATTGCTGCTGTTCAGCAACTGCTTCGTTGTCAGATTTGTAGCCGTTGCAAACAGCTAGCTGGCGTTCGGTGTGTGACTGCGTGGGTCTCTGACGAGTGTTTACTTTTCGTTAGCGTAACTGCTTACAGCCACAATGCCAGACGTGTCGTGCCAGCCCATGTTGACAATTATCTGCAGCTTTGGAGAGTAGCACTCAGTTGGTTGCAAGCAAATCGATCATAAAACGGATTTACAAACAGCTGTGCAACAAATGTGAAAGGATACTGTACATAGCAGAGCTTGGTAGGATTATTTTTGGGGTTGAAGTGTATGTTATTACTTATGCAACATTTAATCTTTGTTCACTGTAATGGATTTCCGGATTTAAGAGAAAGTAACGAAAAAAAATAATGAAAATTGTTTTATTTATACGCTAACCTTAACTGGTTTTGATGATTATCGATAAAATACCCCCTTTTGCTATGTGCACCTTTACTTTTGCGACCATCTTCGGCAGAATATCGATGGTCGGGTCGAACCAAAATGTATGCCTTCAGCTCGGCAACAATCCACGATTTTCTGGCATATAACCTCGGAAAACAAAATCAGAGGAATCAAATCTGGAGCTCTGGGAGACCTGTAAGTGTCAGTCTTTTTAAAATGCGACGTACAAAGTATTATTGGCTTTGAAATTAGTACTTGGGTAAGTTAGTTATGTCAGATTGTCGATTTGTGTAGTATGGTACTCTCTGAGCTCCGAACGGCCTTTGATTGTCGTAGAAAGCACTTACAAAGGCTAATGACTCATTTTTTGACTTATCTTCGAACTGTTTATAGTTTGTATCAAAACTGTTTCGTTATCTTATTAGAAAGACTTTGAGATTCTCAGTATTTCTGATTGATTGCTCAAATTTCAAGTGGATTGAAGTGGTTCTTAAGAACACCTAATAGAAACTGGTTAATCCTCACAATGGAGCTTCCGTTCATAACCTAATCGGTTGTCTTTTGTTATTGTTGTTGTAGTGACAGAAAAAATCTCTTAAGTGTGAGTTGGTGGAATACTGCCGAGTTGACAATCCTGGACCGGATAAAAATCCGAGTCCGCTCCAGTTAAGTAGACCCAGACATTGTGGCAACGGGATTAGTTCTTTTCATTGCTTATTACTCAGAATCCAAGCATTAAATATTTCGAGTTTTTCGACCAGAAAGTTCAACACCTTCTAATTGATTGCTTTCTCACATAGTTGTTCATTTCTTCAGACCTCTGTTTGGAGAGTACTGACTACCAGTAGTATTCAAAAAGAGAATAATTAATTGAGGTTCTCGAAGAACACCTTGTGCCTATTTTAGACACGTCGATACAGATTGATACGATTAGTTTCAGAAAAGAAAAAAAACTCATGCGTTACAATTATGACGGTTAGTTTCAAAAAGAAGTAAAATAAATCAAAAACCAAACCGCACGCCGACGAACTCAAATATAGCAAAAGTAATTCTACTAGAACCAATCAATGTTGTAGCTGTAAATTTACATTTATATTTATCCTTTATTCCCCAATTCTCGTCTGTCTGTTTCATGTTGTCAGTATACGTCTACAAGTATGCTTCTTATCCAATTGTCTCACTTACTAGCCTTTTGTTATTGTAAACCGTGTGCAGTTTCTATACGCCTTTGAGCCACCACCCATTTAACATCCCCCAAACTACAAAAAAAATAGTAAATACTACGCCAACGCAGGGTTTCCATCTCACCGGCGACAGTCAGACCTTGACGGCACACGCCTCTCGAAATGTGTAACTGATGGCTCGTAGATGGCGTGAATGAGGCCGCGTGCAATGCTCACTGTGGCATGTAGCGTGTGCATGTGTATTCAGCACATCATTATTTGCAACACTCGTGTGTGGCACGTTTCCACAATTCTATTATATTCGCTCGATGAAAAGGAACAGTAAAAACGGAAAGAGAAACATTTGCAGCAATTTCAGAGAAATAAGGGCGGCTTTTCGAGTTTGAGGAGATGAAGCTG